TCGTCGAAAAAGTCGAGACGCCTCGACCACTGCGCTTCCACTTCGAGGGTATTCGCAAACTCCCTCCTATCATTGCATTCGATGAAGTCGCCTTCTCATACTCGGGCAATCCTGAAGATTACTTGTACAAATAATTGTATGGAGTACGTCTTTTCTTTCTACCTTGGTCTTGTCCAGCTCACTCATATGTAGTATGGACTCTTGTGTAGCCATCTCAGTGCAAATGGTGCCGGAAAATCGACACTTCTCAACCTCATCACTGATGTCCTACAACCCTCTCGAGGCACTACTTCCAAGCATACTGCGCTCAAACTCGCCAAGTACAGCCAACACAGCGCTGGACCAGATATCACACAACAAGAGTCTGATTGAGTATTACTTCCTTATATCTTCGCCAATGCAGGGCAGCTTTATGGAGTCCTTGCGCCGACGCCTAACATTTTCCTAAACAGGCATCTGTTCTGGTGAGCCCTACAGTGATGTACGTTACAGTACTTAATGTTATCCTAAATAGGCAACGCCGCTTTTGAGTCTACTAGGGTCCGACCGACATATAATATGGGAGCTGGTTAGCTCTATCCCTCGTCTCCCTTCTTCCCTTCTTCCCTTTATTATTAATTTTATCTATTCTGTCTGTCTCTATGTCACACAAGGGCAGCACATTGGAACCGCACGTCGAGGATTGGCAGGACGATCGCAGCCAACGATCCCAGGCAGCTGAAGTATCTCTGCAGGCTCGACAGAGACGGAAAATTGCGCAACTGGAGGGGAAACTTGTGACTCTCGAATCAGGACGCGCGATCAAAGAAAAGTAAGTCTACTATTGCATGTATAGAGTTGGCTTCGCTCACTATCTGCAAGGCAGACGAACTACTATGTGTCGCAAGGAAGAGCAATCAGGCGTATTGTTACTCTATTTGATACCATCGAGGACCTTATCACCGAAAATGACCGAAGGTATGAAGTTGAGGATGACGCAGAATCTAGCCTCGAGTAAGTCTGTCGCCTTTGAAAGCTCCCAGTGAACGCTACTCACCTGCATTTTCATGTAGTGAAGACCGGCTACAGATAGGGTATGTTACCCTTACGACCACTTTGTCGTGGCTCCCTACGAAGGCTACAGAAATGGACTATGACGACTACTCACACATGTTGAAACTGGTTTGCTTTTCCTAGGATGTTGGTGGTCAGCTTGGTTGTGACGATTCTTTGTTTAGCTTCGGCAGGGGGCTGACAGTGCTCGAGGTGACGATACCTCAAAGCTCAAGGCTCTTGTCGCTGAATGGGTTAACCGTGAATTCAAGCCCGATCCCCTGGTTGACGCTGACGATAAACATTCTCGTGGGTTCACCAACGATGCATGCGGCAAGCTACTCTGCCCAGCTGAGCTTGATTGGAGCAATCCCGTGTAAGTAGTGCACTCGGAATGTCGAAAAAAAACACTCACTATTCATTAGCGTCAGGGCAGGGATTCGAGATCGCTCAGATGGCCATATTGTGACTGATCTCTCCTTTCCGGCTTTCCTGTATGATAAGTACACCGCCAATCCGAATGACCTAGAGGAAGGTCTTTTCAAAAGCAGAGTTCTTCTTCAGGTTTGTCGCAGTGGAGTAGCCCGATCGTCGTGGTCTCGAACTCACCGATTTTCAGGCGTACAAAGCTGTATTCACATCACCCTCCTCAGCAAAGGATATCGAAGGGGATGGCGATGGCATAGATGTCATCCAGAACAACAGACGCGCTAATAAGTCTGCCTTCGGAGTCAAAGTCAAGAAACACGTCGTGCAAATCATCAAAATGAAAAAAGTCACTCCTCGCTCGATCGCGTACATCGTATGCCAAGTAAGTCTTATTGTCTGGCGAGCCTGACGATAGATGGTGACTACGCAACAGGTTCGATTTGCACTTTCGTCTGTTACCTCGTGGCGGTCTGTTGACGGCGACTTCGACTATGAACAATTCTGGCAGACCATCGTAGACTTCTTCGAAAGGGCCCCTGGTCGAGCAGCACAGCGTAGGGTTGACGTACTCCTCGAATGGTGGACTAGGTGTGTAATGTATGCTCCCCATTCCAAGCTTCACCTGAAATTGTTATTTAGAAAGGTTTTCGGACGGAACAATTGCAATGACCTCACCAGCACGGCAAAGGCCAACATGTCCGTCAACGCTCTTGCAAGGCAGAGGGCACAGCGCGATGACAGCTGCTTTTGATTCGTCCTAAAGCACGGTGATTGGTAGCTTCAAACAGTTGTTTACTTTAAATTCACAATTAATTATCCCTTGGCTTCATGATTGTTGATTGGTGTGAAGCGTGAACATTCGAGTGAATCTAGTGACCATTCTGAAAATACATCTAGACCATGGCTATCCCTGCATTTTATGGTCCTCGCGCTAATGGCAAAATTCAAACTCTGGTTTGCGCATCTGTGAGCTTGTGTTTGATAGGCTGATTCTTAGACAAACAATGAGACTATGCTCATCTCCAAATTTTCTGGTATTCATGCGAATAGCACGATTCAAGCTCTAGGTTTGCGAGATGAACACAATTAGTGATATTTGAGATAGTCAAGTTACGACTGTTATATATAGGCTTTCTATAATATCCCTTTCCAGTTAAGAGAGCTTGTTGCAAATAAATGATCTTGCCTGATGACAATGTAGTTGTGAACACGAGAACCTAAATCAGGGAGGTCCGAATGCCTGCGGAAAGAAGTTCTCCTTACAGTAGGTAAAACGCGCAATTGTCCTAATCCATGGCACAATATAAAACGTGTCCATTAAACAGTAAGTACGGTACTGGGGCAATGCATGACCCACTGTTGTCGAGGCCGGAGGTAAGGGACCATGTCATAAAGATGAAGCGTCCGCGTAAGGCTACAACCTCCTGAGATAGTATCCAAAGCGGAATCACGTGCTGGCTAGAGTGCAGTGGTAAAATATTTTTGCACAATTCACAACTGATATCTCGTGGGTAATCATCACACATCTAATCCAGGTGGCATCAAAATTCACAGCATCCCATATAATCTTCCGCTGCTTACTCGGTAGACACATAGTTGTTCTCTGGAAGATGCTATATTTCATTCCCAGCTTCGAGATTATTAACTTTACTTCTGACGTGGTGGTTGTGAGTCATCTGGCATGGTCCTTAGCTTTACGGGACATGAAATTATTTACTGTTGTTCTCTGAAGGATACCGTATTTCACTCATAGCTTCGAGACTGTGAAGTTTACCTCTGGTGCTACCGTTGCGAGTCCTCTTTCCTGGTGCTCAGCTTTGGCTCCACCTTCCATTTCAATTTCAATTCGAGCAATACGAATGTCTTTTCTGGACCACAAACCTTGCCTAAGACATGACGGACATGAGTCTCTAGCTTGATCATTTGCTTTGTTATCCATATTTTCTTGCTGCTCACTCGGCGAGCACATTGTTGTTCTCTGGAAGATACCGTATTTCGCTCATAACTTTGAGATTGTGAACATTACTTCTGACTGTGGCGGTTGTGAGTCATCTGGACTGGTCCTTAGCTTTACAGGATATGAAATTATCCATTGTTGTTCTCTGAAGGATACCGTATTTCACTCATAGCTTCGAGACTGTGAAGTTTACCTCTGGTGCTGCTGTTGCGAGTCCTCTGTCCTGGTGCTCAGCTTTGGCTCCACCTTCTATTTCAATTTCAATTCGAGCAATACGAATGTCTTTTCCGGACCACAAACCTTGCCTAAGACATGACGGACGTGAGTCTCTAGCTTGATCATTTGCTTTGTTATCCATATTTTCTTGCTGCTCGCTCGGCAAGCACATTGTTGTTCTCTGGAGGATACCATATTTCACTCATAACTTTGAGATTGTGAACTTCATCTCTGGTGTTGCGGTTGTGAGTCCTCCATCCTGGTGCTTAGCTTTGGTTCCATCTTCCCTTTCAATTTCAATTTGAGCAATATGAATGTCTTTTCCCGATCACAGACTTGTGTAGAAAAATTAGGAACACTACGTGTCGTTAAATAGTCAAACAAGACCATGTAATGAACGATAACATAATTATGCTGATGCTTGTGATTGGGTGCTATATATTGTTATATATGTCGTTCTAATTTCTCCACCAGTTCACTGATGTCAACCATGGGTGAAGCTCAATTATCATTTGGTTGTCATATGACTTCCCTATTCTCCTGTCAGTGCACCTTACAGCTTGCGGTGCGCGGTGCGTATCAAAAATCCCCTGCGTCATCTTTGATGAGTTGTCTCTTGACAATACTCCCATTAACTTGGCAATGGTTTTGGATAGTATGATGGAGGTTTGGATACGCATTTTAATGGATTTTAGACGGCCGTCAACGCTGGTGCAGCAGAATTTGGTGGAAGAGGAAGGTTGGAGGAAGGAAAGTTTGTTGATCTCGGATCATTAGCATCCGAATTCCGATATGCTCTCGTTCGAGCTGAGTTCAGTACTTTGTTCAACGTTCACTTCACGTGTGCACAGTGCACATATACTTGGGCTTTAAATGCGCATTACTTGGCCTATACAGAACTGTTCGAGAATGTGACCAACGTGAAGCTGGTTGAATCTAGCTAGCTTTCAAATGAGGTTAAACCAGCTCTTCGTCAGGATCGTCACCTTCACTTTTCAGCTCATGGATTGCGATTATGCTGTAGACTCTCCTCGAAGACGAGTCTCACGCTCTGAACTTTATCCCAGCTGGCAATCTGTCTCGTGGGTGGTCAAGTCGAAAATTTGCCGCGTTCTTCCCAGTGTTCTCAATATTATCTCTACAACTGGGGCCAGTCCTACTTCCCACCGTTCATTCTCTCCTATTATCGGTGCCTGTGTTCCTTGATCTCCATTCCAGTCGTCATCATATCTGGTATGTTTGTGGCCTCTGGTACAATCAAATACCCGAAGAGGTCCCTCACGGACCCCGCAGGAAATAACACAGCTTCCATACTGCTGCATCGTTGGCCTCCGCTGAAGGGACTTTATCGCACTGACTGTATCGTGAGTGTTGTTGTAGTTCAGCTACTAGTGTTATATTATTTTTGTTGAGCCACGCACACGTGAGATCGGCTATCTCGTTCGTATGATAGTATCAGGTATGTAGATACAATCAATACAGCATGCAAGCAGATATCAATTGAATCACAAACTTATTTCAAGTGAGCGAAGTGGGTTTGAGAGAACGGATGCTGCTGTAGTGATTTCCCTAGGTATCCACACAAAACGCGCTGGGGATGAGCGCCCAGGGCCAGTACAATATTACATCAATGTATAACTACTGTACCTTCATCCCCTGCCTTCATCTCTGGTTTCACTGTTCGTTTCTTCTTTGCTGTACTTGTTCGTTTCTTCTTTGCACGTGTGACTTTGATGGGCTCTGGAGTGCTCGTGCGTAGTTCGTCATCAGGAACTTCGTATGATTGGAAAGAAGGAAGGGGAGGTGGAGGCGTCGCGGTGACGTCAAAAGGATTTGGCGTTTGGCGTCGTGAGGATGGCACGGGAGTTGACGGTTGCGGTGTGATGACAACGCCCGCAGGCATCTCGCCCCCTCTTTCCACGACAAACGACGGAGGAGTAGATCGTATGGACGCGCTGCTTCTCAGCCCGGGAAGGCGGGGTTCTTCTGCGAGGGCATCAGCCATGTTCATGTGCGTGGAGAGAAATATACCTGGCAGTGGTAAGGGACCGTCTAGTCGGACAACAGGGATTGAATCGACATCCTCTGCGGGTGGCTTCTGAGATTGGTCGTCCATGATATAGTATGGATCATCCCGAATTCGTTCCAGCCGCTCGGCCTTAAGCTGCAGAATGTTAGTTAAGTCGATGCGATGCGGAGAGTGTGGTTAATGCATACCCTTTCTCGTTCAGCTTTTTCTTCAGCTGTCTCTTCTTCTTGCGGTGCAAGCTCCTCCCGGTAATGGTCCTCCTTCTGCTTCTTCTTCCCACTCTTAACCTTCATCCTGTTCGCAGACTCCTTCCCTTTCCCTTTCTTGTTCCTCCTGATCTTCCGCTCAGTCACGTCGCCATCGTCACCCTCTTCTGCAACGCGATCTTGCATTGACGGGACAATCCACATATCCAGGTCAAGCCCGTCAGGAACGGGCACACTCGCTTGCGCGATGGATGCAACAGGATTAAGTTCATGCGATGAGAAGAGTGGTTGAATAAGGTAGAGACTCTTTGGAAAACTCGGTTCTAATACGGGGTCGAAGGCGGCTGCACTCAGGTCCGAGAACCCATTTTCCTGCTTTGGTTTGTACATCGCTACGTCGCGCTTGATGAAGATAAGCAGCTGAAGAATGTTTGCAGCCTACAATAATGAATTGATTAATTTGCGAATCCCTAATCGCTGACCCTCGTCACTCACACGTTCTTGGACCTCGATCTGGGTGCTAGATGCAAATTGTTCCATCTGTTCAATCATGATATCAACGGCTTTCTTGAGGTCTTCTAGGAAGCTCTCCGTCCACTGCTTTGCCGCTTCAGAAGCCCAGTATCCAAACAGCTTTGTGGCTGATTGTATGCACACGGCGGTTATGTCAGGCCTCAGAGACGCAATCTCTGGTTGAAGTAAGTAGGGGATGAGTTCGTCCGGCGCAGAAAGCTCGCTGTGGTACGATCGTTCAGTATATCGGAAGGGAATGAATTATTAAATCGTACCCGCAGTACTCTCCGCATATCCAAGCCGCCGCCCACAGCACCTCGGAACAACTACCCTGCTCACCTGCGTGCAGCAAGAACGTATCATCAGACAGTACCTTCACCATCAACTTAACTGCATAGCTCCTAGCCGCTCTCACGCGTCCGACAACGTCTACTAGTTGGTCGCGAATTTGCGTGCCGATGTCGACATTCGATACGTATGCGAGGTCAACGAGGACTGAGAGGTACCATTCAAAATCGATGACATTGTCATAGGTGTTTTGAGAACACATTGTCATGATCCTTTGTGACAGGACAAGGCGGTAGGCGGTGGATTGAGATGGTGCACCTGGGGACTTTGCAGGAGCAGACGGGATGATGTGTTGGGATAGGGATTGTACTGCAGACGGAATGGCGGAGGACTCGGGCTTGACAAGATGCGACAACACCTGTTGCACAATTGATTGTAGATTGTCTCGATTGACCTGCAGAATTTGTATTATACAGGAAGAAGAAGTCTCACGATGACTTACGAGTGCTGAGAGCAGATCTAGTGCACGCATACGGATGCTG